AACTGACTATCCCTACCTGAAAACACACACAAAAAATGTTCTGGCTGAATTAACATCTAGATATAAAGACAAAAATAACAAATAGTAGAAAAAAATTTGAGAAACACCTTTCTAAACATGATAGTAAACCACCAGATACTTAAAAAAAAAAAAAAAAAGGATTAAGAGACTGGACATTTTTAAAAAAGTAAAATTCTGGATGGCAAAAAGTACCACTAAGACACTAAAAATGAAAAACAAATTGCACAATACATGGCAGGCAAAAAGATGGCATATATATATATATATACACACATACACACACCTGTATATTTCAATGTGTATATATCAACATATCAAAATGAAGTTCTCATAAGATAGAAAAAGATAACTGCCTCAGAAGAAAAATATGCAGAAGACAAAAACAGACTTTTCATAAATAAGAAAGAACATATTACCATTATTAAATACTGTACCTCACGGATGATAAATCTAAATTAAGAGGTCTTATTTATTTATTCATTTATTTTTATAAATCATAGCTCACACTGGCAAAATGTTGACAAGCCTACATTGGTAAGGGTTCAGAGAAAGCATTTTCACGTGCTACTGGTGGAAATTGGATACAACTTTACCAAAAGACAAGCTTTATCAACATTTAAAATACATCCTACATTATAATCTGATAATAAAAAGGTCATGAACAACACATTTCCATGATAGTACTTAAAAAATAATAGGAAAGGCAGAAGCCCAGTCTTGTGTGAAATGCGGCCATCCCACTGGCACCTTCTCTGTACCCTCAACGGCCAGTGTTCAGTGACTGCCCCTCCTGATTGCCCTCTCACGGCTCTGCCCAGCTCCTGCAGCATGTTTAAACATGTCTGCTATCTCCTCTTTTCTTCCATCTCTCAACAGGCATACCCTGAGGACTGTGCTTTTAGGCCACTATTCCTTTTCTCAACTCCTGGGTTTTGTCCCAGGATCACTTGTGATTCCAGCTACCCAAGCCACCTGCAGGCTCCGAAATCGTCCTCTATCCTTCGCATCCACATTTTCAAGTCTTCTCCTACTTCAGCAACATTAAATGGCTGCCAAATTCCCAGCACCATGTTGAGAAAGAGCCAAAAAACATTTTAAGACACTCCCAAAGCATTCCATATTTGCCACTCCTTATTAGTGTTTTTTGTTTAGCCCTGGGCTCCAGCATCTAGAAAAACCTAGATGGGAGTTTACTAGATAGCCAAGCAGACAACATAAAGGTACAGCAGAAATTGCCTTTCCCTGAGAAAGCTGGTAAGACGTAACATGATTCTGGGGACATATGAAAGATTATACTAACATGGACAAGTCAATTTTCTTCATCCTCAGGAAGGGGTTGAGTGAGGGGAGTTATTAGTCTAGGCTTTTGGCTACATAGAGCAGTCCCCATTTACCCTACAACACGTTCCTAAACAGGACCCAGGAAAACAGAGCAGATCATTTCCCTCCATTCACCACTGTGGGTGGAGCAATCACTCTGGCTTTGAAGCCTGATATTATCCTATCTGTTGCAGCTAGATAATGTCCACTACCTTGCCAAGGTGAAGTGTTAACTGAATTGCATTCCACAAATATATAAATGGCAAAATGCATGCCATATATATTTTGCTACAATAAAAAAATGCTTTACCAAAATTAAGATACATTAAAACTGTTGGAAACAGGCAGTTATGAAGGTAGAGCAAACCATTTAAGGCATGTTGGGACTGTTGTGTATGGACCAGCAATCTGGAAAAGTGTTGAGAAGACTAAGCTCCTGAGGTCAGTAACAATTTCCTCACAGTGACTGCCACTGTGGCTAGAGAGGATGGCAAGAATGGCTCTTTTTCTCTGAAGGTCAAACACAAACGGAGTCTTAAAATTATCAGAAAAAATAAAAACAATTTTAAAATCATAAAAATAAAAAAAAACTAAAAATAAAAACCACTAGTGACGGAGCCTTCACTTTGGGCTAGGCACTGTACTTAATGTTTGTATACATGCTATGTCATCTAAACCTTCCACAGCAGAACTCATAAATGGTGTTGTTATTCCTGTTTTTTACTGGTGTAGAAACAAAAGCTTGGAGAGGCACAACTTTACTAAGATCACCATGCCATGATCAGATGAAACCAGAGAGTGAGAAGAGCTCTAACTCCAAAGCCCATGTTTTTGTTTTGTTTTTTTACTACAGAGCGCTGATTTACATGCAATCCAGCCAAGACTCAGAGAGAGCTAGGTAATCTCACACTCCCCAATTCACAGTCTCTCTTCTTTTGTGAATATATTTGATGTAATCTTTCCTCAATACATGATATTCACATCCTTCAAAATTCAGTTTCTACATGAAAATATAGGTTATTTTTGTAAACCATGTACTGGAGACCTTTCTAGCACCGATATACATTTTAACAAATACATGGATAAAAAAAAAAAAAAACAATGACTATATATGCAGGTCAATGCTGAATCGATCTCTTTTCATTATGCAGTCAGTGCCTTGACCCCACGAAACCATTTATAGAGTACCTACTGCATACTACATCATAGCCTGAGTACCATGCAAGAATACTAAAAGATCTGAATCCATACTCACTTCCAAGAAGTTGTAATTTTAGTATCAGAGGTAAGACAAAAAGACTCAAAGGACATTGAAAAACAAAGGTGACGTACAAATGTGCAAATTAACTAAATAATGCAAAGTGAACACTTACATGCTAAGGAAATGATGAATTTATATGTGCCCAGTGAAGTCCCTGGAAAACGTTTATTTAAAACATTGCTTAGAAAGTCAATAAACGATTATGAAGATAAATACCAAGTACAGGGTCACCTGGGTGGCGCAGTCAGGTGGGCAACTGACTCCTGGTTTCCACTCAGGTTGTGATCTCAGGATCATGGGATTGAGCCTTGTGTTGGGCTTTGCGCTCAGCGCAGAGTCTGCTTGAGACTCTCTCTACCTCTCCCTCTGCCCTTCCCCACTGCTCACTCTCTTTCCCTCTAAAATAAATAAGTATTTAAAAAAAAGAAAAGAAATACCAAGTATAAGACATCCTTAGATAATCAACTGAGACTCATTCTTAGGTTCATTTTTAACTACCAAAGTCCCCAACGTATTACAAAAGGCAGAGTTTATAAAGTAATGTAGTGATATATGTTAAAGTGGTTATAAATCTTTGAAATTTTGTTTCTTAACTAATATGGGTATCAAGACTCTTCCCTTTTCCTGTTATCACTATATCTAACATCACCTTTGCTGAATTTTTCTAGGCCAGAGTTGGGAACTGGCTATCCCAAGACAAAAACTAATACAGCCAACCTCTATGACACAAAAAAGTTACATCAATAAGAGCAAGGCCACTCAGAAGAGGCAAAATCACAAAAGGGGAGTATAAATAATGCCCATTAATAAATAAGGGGAAGTATATTTTGTAAAAGCCAGCGATCATGACTGAGGGCACACATCTCCCTCCATACAGCGCAAGTTTTCGAGTGGGTAAAGCACACAGACTCTGTCATGGCTAGTATTATATTCATGATTTGTTCTGGGAGTCATGTTTCTCTTGTTTCAAATTAAATGCAAACACACAGTCCTTCTGTCCACATCAGATGCTTTGGTTGCTATGCTGCTTATTTTTCAATCCCATACAACCGTAATAGCCTGCGTCAATGCAGACTCAATCTCCTCCTCCAAGTTGGGGGCCCTGTGTCACTCTCAAAGCATCCCTAGGCAGCTCTGAGATACAAAATCTTCACTCAATTTCTCATCCCTCTCATTTTAATCCATTCAAAACTCCTCTGATAGAAAAGCAACTGCCAGACCTGCAATACTTTAGTCTCTCTTTGGGGAAATGAAATTGATTTTCTTCATTTTCACACAAGAGAGTCCCTGGGTAACAATATTGTGTCCATTCATACCCATAATAATAATAAAAAAAATGTAGGCAACATTTCTTTACTGTATACCAGAAGGCTGAAAGGTTTTGTGGAATTCCTTTGGAGGAGGTAAGAATTCATCCTGATGCTGCTCGATCATAAGTTTACTAAGTTAAAGGTTGTCTTCTGACTGAGAGAGTTAAGTGCTATGGGCCATCCCCATCTGCTCCAAATTAGCCACAGTAGGAGGTCAGCTAGGGTCATGGATGAGGTAGGGTCGGGAGGGAGTAAGAGTCCACATTGTCCCTGGTTTATTCCCAGCATATGCCTTTCCTTCTCCTCTTGCCACACTGGACTAAATGAACCAATCATTTTCTGCCTTTGATCTTCTGACTTTAAGGTAAGGAATACCTGAGAGAAATTTCCAAGGGGAAAATTGCCAGAGAAAAAAAACAAACTCAGCAGAATTTCAGGCACCTCGAACTATTTTCCCAACTCCCAAATTCATTAACAGTATAGGTTTTGCAGAATTTCAGAAGTTTAAAAGATGGCTTAAACCTAAAGGAAGAATATGAAATATGAGAACAGTAGCTCATCAACACTTTTTAAGAACAACCTTCCATGGGGCTACAATACATAACAACAATAAAAGCTGTGAGTCTGGGGCCCCACCAGCTCCACTCCCCCTGCTCCAAACCCAACCCACTAGAAATATTTACTCTGTCAAACTCCATTGATAAGCACTGACCTAGAAAAAGAACACAGATATTCAGAATGTGCAAACTAACATCCAAAAATCTCCTCTTGGCCCTGAGGACTACCAAAGGAGCTCAAAAACCATTTCCACTTTGCAGTGTTCTCTGTCCCTTCTTGTTCACTGCCTGTCTCCTGCATAAGTATGGCACAAAACATTGTGGATAAAACAGAATACACTCTAGAATTAAGATGTTTCAGTTTCCATATTTTCCCTAAGTTTTTTAAGTTGGGATGCATTTGGTAACTGATATCCTGAAAAAGTCTTCTTCCTTAAGACAAAAAAAAAAAAAAAAAAAAGTAGCCCGTTTCCCAAGGTCCAAATCTCCTTAAGTAAATAGCAAAATCATTAATTAACCATGAGAACTAACCGGCAGACACGGGCTGGAAAATACAACTTTTGCCAAGAACGACACAGATACTGCGAATGATCAATCACTCTGATCCAATCAAGTTCATCCATTGACACTTCAATGAAGTATGAATAAGACCTATGAATCAAAAGAAAAACGCAGAAAAAAGTACCATATTAAAATAACAAAACCAAGTTATACTTCAATAAAACATTAAAAGATACAAAAAATGTAACTTACTAATTACATTTTCTGTATTACAAATTATCAAAACTTTCTGCATAACAATCAAATTCTGATAATAATAAAATCTGTATAGATCTTGCTATTGTAGTGTGCACCACAATGTACCGTAATTCTCTCTCCACATGTCTGTATGCCTTATTAGATCACAAGATGCTTAAAAACAAGGAGCATGCCATATTTATCTTCACATATTCAGGGCCTAGCACACTGTCTGGCACATACCCAGCATGCAAGATATTTGTTCCTTTTCAAACAGAGCCAGGATGGCTTGCTCCTACTATATTAGATTAATAAAGCCATGATAGAAGAGAGAACAGAAAATTGATAAGTGGGAGATGGGCCTTCTCCTTCTACCTTCCCTAGTCTGGGTGCTCAGCTCTGTTCTCTCAGGGAAGCCCACTCGGAATGGTTCCTCAGAAAGACCTGCTTATCTCCTGCTCCCTCCCAGTCTCCACCATCCCACACAAATATGCAGCCCAAAGAAAAATAAATGACATGGGTGAAGAGATAATACGTGTTTCTTCTGGGTACAACATAGAATTTGGCAGCTAATAATCTGGCAGTAATGAAAATAGCCTATCATCCCCTAGCCAGCTACCGTGGACCATTAGATGCTGGTCCCATCCTGAACAAATCTGTATTCCCCTGTCATAAGCCAAATTTAAATTTGAGATGCAGTTATTACTTGTACTGTAATATCAACAGGAACAATCTCAGAAGATTTAGACGACCATAAATGTCAGCCTGCAACCAACAGTTGTGACCAGAAAAGGTCAGCTTATTTTGTGTCATCCCCTCATTTTCTGCTGTCCTCTCACTCCCATTCATTTTATCGCTCAGTCTCAAACAGGTTATAACCTTTTATTGAACCTCTCTGGGTTATCAGTAATGCAGGTTATAATTTTACAACACATGTCAGAATCTTTTGGGCTTAAGATTCTGAATTTTTCACCTTTGCTGAGAATGATAACTTCTGTGAGAAAAGAACTGCTACATGGTCAAGCTAAGTCCCCTGTGAATGTAATGCATATACTAAAGCAAAGCGGCCTATAAATATTTAACATCATGGAAATAGTAACTACTATCGGTTTCAAACGTACTAACATTTTCTTTTATTATCTTTATACTAATTTCACAATTAATTAAACAAATATATGTAAAGCTTTGAGAACAGTACCTACCACATAAAAGTAATGAAAGTGCTATATAAGTATTATTACTGTTATACTATTATTATTAGCCCAGAGACTCTTGGAAATCACATGTGGATTAGCTCCATTTTGCCAACTAAACATCATTTTATATCCAACAAGATACTTACCAGGACATATATTCTTTTTTTTTTTATTTTTTTATTTTTATTTTTTTTTTTAGGACATATATTCTTAATAAAGAAAAAACAGATGAAGATAACCTGGGAGCCTCGAACACCCTTACCTATGGGAAATGCAAACTCCCTTCATGAAGCTTCCCTCATATTTGGTTCAAATGGCCTAAAAGGTCTGAGTGGTGGCCAGTGTGCAAGGAGAAATGAAGTACCATGCAAGGGTATCATTGCCAATACTACCAAGTCCTCCCAGCCCAGACTCAAAGAGGCATGAGTAGGGCCTAGGAGACTCTATGCCAATTTCTGGGTATAGAGGGTTTAAGTTAATGATGGCAGTCATGAGAGACAATTTTTGGTGGCCCAACTGCTCTGGTACTTCTAAGCATCATGGATGAATCCTAGAAACTACAGTGGGGGAAGTGTCAGAGGTGCTGGATAGAAGGCAGAATCTTGAAGCCACTACAAAACTGAGTGGGTTCTGAGGCTGGAGCTCACCAAATCTTTTTCACAAACTTCCTACATTTGAGAATGATTATTCATCCACACAATAAAAGACATTTTTTTCTTCATCCATAGGATTAAATGCATTAAAAAAGTTATAGTATTCAAAAGTAAGTAATCAAGTAAATAAATATTGGTAACCCAGAAAGAATACCAAATAACAATTAAAAGTATATTTTAAAGGGATATTTTTTTTTGAAGTAGAATGTTCACAATGTATTAATTACAAAGTGAAGTTAGCCTTTATTTTGTAAAACTATGTGTGGTTTTACAGATTTCTGTTTTGTGTATGTGACTAGTTAAATACATATAGTTACATATGCTGGTTAGATACATACTAGCTATATACAAAGGTTATTAATGGCCAGTGATTTACTAATGGTTTCATTCTTCTTCTTTGTGTTTTTCTATACTATGTTTTCCATGATAAACACATATTCATTACTTTTATAAGCAGAAAAAAAGCAAAAAAAAAATTTTTTTTAAGGATAATAGCCTTTAACTCTTCCCCCAGAACTAAACTTCAAAAGAAATAGCAAAACGATCCCAAGGAAATAAACCATCAAATCTGAAAAGCCAAAGAGATGACCACAAAATTAGGCCAACTCAATCAAACATAATGTCATTTTCTGTCCAAGTCATGCTAATCACTCACCGGCTATCTCGGTCCCACAGGAGTATCCGAATGTGATTGATAATAGATGGCTGACCTAGCTTAATCTCAATGCCAGAACGGCAGTCATCATCAATCGGGTGCCTAGAAAATCCATGATCCAAATCATAATTTTGAGTATCACCGTCTAATAAGGCCGACTTCAGCTCCCCTTTTACAACCTGGGCTCCATACTTCATAGTTGCAATATTTTCTTCTGGTACTACAGTTAAAAACAGAGAAAGCAAGATTAATGATTACTTAGTAATTATTCTGTATTGTTGGGAAGAACACAAAATTCTAGCATTCTAGTTGATTTTATCACGTGCATTTCATTTAAAAATGGCAGAGAGAAGTCTGTGGAGATAGAAGATGTGGAATGTCTATGAGGATTACGATACCACCCACAGTTTAAACTTAATGACACACCAAAGCCACAGAGTGCCTAAGACTAATGTTACTAAGAAAAAGTTGGTAATACTAGAAACAAAACAAGTACTAGGACAAACAAATCAGCTCTGCCACGTTCACTCTATTAGTAGCCTTAATTTAATATCTACAGGACAAAAATGGCATAGAAGATGACCTGTAGCTGCCATCTGGAGTGAGCACAACATAGAAAAGCAAAGCTGACAGGTCAGATCTCTGATAAAGCGGGGAGGGGCAGGATGGCGGAAGAGTAGGGTCCCCAAGTCACCTGTCCCCACCAAATTACCTAGGTAACCTTCAAATCATCCTGAAAATCTATGAATTCGGCCTGAGATTTAAAGAGAGACCAGCTGGAATCTACAGTGAGAAGAGTTCGCGCTTCTCTCAAGATAGGAAGGGGGGGTGGGTAGTAAAGAAACAAAAGGCCTCCAAGGGGGAGGGGCCCCGAGGAGCCGGGCTGAGGCCGGGGCGAGTGTCCCCAGGACAGGAGAGCCCCGTCCCGGAGAAGCAGAAGCTGCACCAACCTTCCCGGGCGGAAAGGGGCTCGAAGGGAGTTAGAGCAGGACCCAGGAGGGCGGGGATGCCCTCGGGCTCCCTGGGACCGTAACAGAGGAACTGCGCCCCGGGAGAGTGCGCCGAGCTCCCTAAGGGCTGCGGCGCGCACGGCGGGACCCAAAGCAGCTCGGAGGGGCTCGGGGGCGGCTCCGCGGAGGGGGCTGCGCAGCCGGGAGCTTGAATCCAACAGCGCAGGCCCCGGAGCACAGGGCGCCGGGACACAGCCCAGGATCCGGCCTCCCCCGGGACAGGCAGAGGCCGGGGAGGGCCCAGGACCACAAGGACGCTCCTGCCTGGAGCTGAGCAGATCAGCGGCCCCGCCCAGGAGCCTCCAGGCCCTGCGGACGGAGAGCTCCGGAGTTACTGCAGGAGCTGAATCCAGGGCTCCAGAGCGGGGCCGCCACTGCGGTTGTTCCTCCTGGGGCCTCACAGGGTAAACAACCCCCGCTGAGCCCTGCAGCAGGCAGGGACAGAGCAGCTCCCCCAAGTGCTAACACCTGAAAATCAGCGCAACAGGCTCCTCCCCCAGAAGACCAGCTGGACGGACCAGTTCCAGGGGAAGTCAAGGGACTTAAAGTCTACAGAATCAGAAGATACTCCCCCGTGTTTTTTTTTTTCTTTTTGATTTGTTTGCTTCCCCCACCCCTTTTTTCCTTCTTTCTTTTTCTCCTTTTTTTTCTTCGTTTTTTCTTTTTTCTTTTTCTCTTTTCTTTCCTTCTTTCTCTCCTCTCTTTTGTTCCTTTTCCCAATACAACTTGTTTTTGGCCACTCTGCACTGAGCAAAATGACTAGAAGGAAAACCTCACCTCAAAAGAATCAGAAACAGTCCTCTCTCCCACAGAGTTACAAAATCTGGATTACAATTCAATGTCAGAAAGCCAATTCAGAAGCACTATTATACAGCTACTGGTGGCTCTAGAAAAAAGCATTAAGGCCTCACGAGACTTCATGACTGCAGAATTTAGATCCAATCAGGCAGAAATTAAAAATCAATTGAATGAGATGCAATCCAAACTGGAAGTCCTAACGACGAGGGTTAACGAGGTGGAAGAACGAGTGAGGGACATAGAAGACAAGTTAATGGCAAAGAGGGAAACTGAGGAAAAAAGAGACAAACAGTTAAGGGACCATGAAGACAGATTAAGGGAAATAAATGACAGCCTGAGGAAGAAAAACCTACGTTTAATTGGGGTTCCCGAGGGCGCCGAAAGGGACAGAGGGCCAGAATATGTATTTGAACAAATCATAGCTGAAAACTTTCCTAATCTGGGAAGGGAAACAGGCATTCAGATCCAGGAAATAGAGAGATCCCCCCCTAAAATCAATAAAAACCGTTCAACACCTCGACATTTAATAGTGAAGCTTGCAAATTCCGAAGATAAAGAGAAGATCCTTAAAGCAGCAAGAGACAAGAAATCCCTGACTTTTATGGGGAGGAGTACTAGGGTAACAGCAGACCTCTCCACAGAGACCTGGCAGGCCAGAAAGGGCTGGCAGGATAAATTCAGGGTCCTAAATGAGAAGAACATGCAACCAAGAATACTTTATCCAGCAAGGCTCTCATTCAAAATGGAAGGAGAGATAAACAGCTTCCAAGACAGGCAGGAACTGAAAGAATATGTGACCTCCAAACCAGCTCTGCAAGAAATTCTAAGGGTGACTCTTAAAATTCCCCTTTAAGAAGAAGTTCAGTGGAACAATCCACAAAAACAAGGACTGAATAGATATCATGATGACACTAAACTCATACCTTTCAATAGTAACTCTGAACGTGAACGGGCTTAATGACCCCGTCAAAAGGCGCAGGGTTTCAGACTGGATAAAAAAGCAGGACCCATCTATTTGCTGTCTACAAAAGACTCATTTTAGACAGAAGGACACCTACAACCTGAAAATAAAAGGTTGGAGAGCCATTTACCATTCAAATGGTCCTCAAAAGAAAGCAGGGGTAGCCATCCTTATATCAGATAAACTAAAATTTACCCCGAAGACTGTAGTGAGAGATGAAGAGAGACACTATATCATACTTAAAGGATCTATCCAACAAGAGGACTTAACAATCCTCAATATATATGCCCCGAATGTGGGAGCTGCCAAATACTTAAACGAATTATTAACCAAAGTGAAGAAATACTTAGATAATAATACACTTATACTTGGTGACTTCAATCTAGCTCTTTCTATACTTGATAGGTCTTCTAAGCACAACATCTCCAAAGAAACGAGAGCTTTAAATGATACACTGGACCAGATGGATTTCACAGATATCTACAGAACTTTACATCCAAACTCAACTGAATACACATTCTTCTCAAGTGCACATGGAACTTTCTCCAGAATAGACCACATACTGGGTCACAAATCGGGTTTGAACCGATACCAAAAGATTGGGATCGTCCCCTGCATATTCTCAGAACATAATGCCTTGAAATTAGAACTAAATCACAACAAGAACTTTGGAAGGACCTCAAACACATGGAGGTTAAGGACCATCCTGCTAAAAGATGAAAGGGTCAACCAGGAAATTAAGGAAGAATTAAAAAGATTCGTGGAAACTAATGAGAATGAAGATACAGCCGTTCAAAATCTTTGGGATGCAGCAAAAGCAGTCCTAAGGGGGAAATACATCGCAATACAAGCATCCATTCAAAAACTGGAAAGAACTCAAATACAAAAGCTAACCTTACACATAAAGGAGCTAGAGAAAAAACAGCAAATAGATCCTACACCCAGCAGAAGAAGAGAGTTAATAAAGATTCGAGCAGAACTAAACGAAATCGAGACCAGAAGAACTGTGGAACAGATCAAGAGAACCAGGAGTTGGTTCTTTGAAAGAATTAAGAAGATAGATAAACCATTAGCCAACCTTATTAAAAAGAAGAGAGAGAAGACTCAAATTAATAAAATCATGAATGAGGGGATCCCTGGGTGGCGCAGTGGTTTGGCGCCTGCCTTTGGCCCAGGGCGCGATCCTGGAGACCCGGGATCGAATCCCACGTCGGGCTCCCGGTGCATGGAGCCTGCTTATCCCTCTGCCTGTGTCTCTACCTCTCTCTCTCTCTGTGTGTGTGACTATCATAAAAAAAAAAAAAAAATCATGAATGAGAAAGGAGATCACTACCAACACCAAGGAAATACAAACGATTTTAAAAACATATTATGAGCAGCTATACGCCAATAAATTAGGCAATCTAGAAGACATGGACGCATTCCTGGAAAGCCACAAACTACCAAAACTGGAACAGGAAGAAATAGAAAACCAAAACAGGCCAATAACCAGGGAGGAAATTGAAGAAGTCATCAAAAACCTCCCAAGACACAAAAGTCCAGGGCCAGATGGCTTCCCAGGGAAATTCTACCAAACGTTTAAAGAAGAAATCATACCTATTCTACTAAAGCTGTTTGGAAAGATAGAAAGAGATGGAGTACATCCAAATTCGTTCTATGAGGCCAGCATCACCTTAATTCCAAAACCAGACAAAGACCCCACCAAAAAGGAGAATTATAGACCAATATCCCTGATGAACATGGATGCAAAAATTCTCAACAAGATGCTAGCCAATAGGATCCAACAATACATTATGAAAATTATTCACCATGACCAGGTAGGATTTATCCCCGGGACACAAGGCTGGTTCAACACTCGTAAAACAATCAATGTGATTCATCATATCAGCAGGAGAAAAACCAAGAACCATATGATCCTCTCATTAGATGCAGAGAAAGCATTTGACAAAATACAGCATCCATTCCTGATCAAAACTCTTCAGAGTGTAGGGATAGAGGGAACTTTCCTCGACATCTTAAAAGCCATCTATGAAAAGTCCACAGCAAATATCATTCTCAATGGGGAAGCACTGGGAGCTTTTCCCCTAAGATCAGGAACAAGACAGGGATGTCCACTCTCACCACTGCTATTCAACATAGTATTGAAGTCCTAGCCTCAGCAATCAGACAACAAAAAGACATTAAAGGCATTCAAATTGGCAAAGAAGAAGTCAAACTCTCCCTCTTCGCCGATGACATGATACTCTACATAGAAAACCCAAAAGCCTCCACCCCAAGATTGCTAGAACTCATACAGCAATTTGGTAGCGTGACAGAATACAAAATCAATGCCCAGAAATCAGTGGCATTTCTATACACTAACAATGAGACTGAAGAAAGAGAAATTAAGGAGTCAATCCCATTTACAATTGCACCCAAAAGCATAAGATACCTAGGAATAAACCTAACCAA